TGAAAAGATGTGTTACGAAAGGAAACACGGAGGAGCATCTCTTAGTCCGGAGATAGTTTGAAGACAAAGATTAACACTCTTACATCGGCGGTGGTAGGTAAAATGGTAGAAATCAACACAGAATTAGGCATGGTTGTTGTAGATATATGGTGTTTTTTTAGATATATTATATGTTGTTTGTGTGTGCTTTGCGGGATGAATGAGTCGTATTAGCTTGATTTAAGGCAATCAAGCCAGGGCCAATCTCAGTCAATCTAATAACAGAAGGGTCCTGTGTGTGTAAGTGATGTAATTGTTCAAACCAGAAACCATCCAAACCCTTGATCAAGGGTCAAGGAATGTCATTCTGTTGTCTGGTAAGCTGCTCATGAAATTGAACTAGACCCCTAAATGGTAATTTTTTTGATTGCAAATATCATCAAGGTAAGAACGGTTGCTAAGGTATGTAATGCAAAAAAAGATTGGATACAAAAAAAATCATACATATAGAAGGTACACATATTTAAAGATGATTAAAATAGGTTAAAAAGGGAGGTAGTCGTTTGATGGAGGAAGGGCTTGATGGTCACATGTAGTGTATTAACTTTGTGCTTGCGAGTCCTCCTCATTGTGAGCAGCACCCTTACCATGGCCAGAAACTTTCTTAAACTCGTCTGACCAGAAATCACGAGCTTCAGCCACCGTGGCTCCAGGTTGAGTATTAAACCTCAGTTGCATGGTTTCAGGCCCAACTAATTCGACCCAAGCACGATAGCGATACATCGTCTTAGTCAGTACCCATTGATCTCCAAAATGTACAACCCATGTCTCCCTTGGGTCTCCATCAAGAGTGTCGTAATACCAGGCGACCAGGCTTGACAGCAGTTCCGTCTTAGCTGGCCAGCCTTTTTTCCGCTTTGGAGAGGCTGAGGTGCTAGAGAAGAGAAGCATATGTGAGCAATTGATCTCAATTAGATAGAAGTTAGAGAGTTCTGCCCGACATACACGGTAGCTTTTCCCTTTGTTTCTCCCTTCCCAGAGGGACTAGCTTTGTCCTGGCGTTCTTCAACCGTTGGTGTGGGTGATAGAGTCAAGTCAACTTCAATACGAGTGGGGGGAGTTGCTGGACGCGCAATCGAGGAGGGGATGGTCTGTTGGGTTGATTCTCCGAGCAGGTTGCCAATGGGGGAATTGTTAGGGTGAGGTTGTTCTTGCGAGTTTGAAGGTGACGCTGTTGAGGTTTGATCTGTGGACAATTGATTTTCGCAAATGGCGGGAAGATCTTTTTTGGATAGAAAGGCTGAAGCGGGTATAGCTAGATTCCCAGGTGATCCTTTGTTCAAGACCTTCGCTGATGGCATCAGAGCATGATGGGGTACATCAACATTGGGAAGTCGAACAATGATGGACCGTTGTCCGTCTGGTAACTGATGAGGGTAATTGACCATCGTGTCCATCTAAAAGAAAGGGAGAGAGTGTGTTCCAAAACCGATATCAGCACGAATGCCCGGTTTTCCATGACAAATTCGTGAATCGCTGACCCAGGAATTCAAAGTGTGATCCCACACACTCAGAGCGCCGTCCCATTCCGGTCCCACCGCTGTCGTTACGGCCTGCAGGAGTAGATCGCTCTGGTTAAGATAGACTACTGGCCACTGAGGGAAGTATGCTGCGATCGGTTTGGAGGCAGCTGACTATCCCAAGTGATTGATCGACTCAGCCAGGCAAAGGGTGAATGCTGATAAACCTAAGACCTAACTCACGTTGACCCATAATGAGATCGTGGCCATCTTGGCAGTGTCGATGAGGGTTTCTTTTTTGCGGTTGTCAGCCTCTGCTCTGTCAGCACGATTCTTCTGAAGCATGACTATAGATTCAATGGGCATGCGCTGGCCGAGTGTATTTGCAAACTGAGCCCACTTATGAGGGTTTGAGGCGGAAGCTGGAGCTGGAGATGGAGCTGATCGACGTGGGGCAGATCCGGTTGCAGTTTGCTGGCGAGGCGTGCTTGCTTTACTCGCTTGGATCTCACTCAATTGGGTAAATTGCTGAGCAGTGATTCCGAGATGCTGGAGGGTTTGATGAGTGATCTCCTGAGTTTTTGGTTGAATCGGTGCGACTTTCGAGGATCGAGAGTGTTTCGAACAAGACATTGACCCGTATGCCGTGCAACACTGTACAAAAAGATAATACAAACATGTCAATTAAGGTCAAGCAAACCAAGTCCATGATACACTAATCACGTACACCCAGGCAGTATTGGTGGGGGCACTCCTTGTTTGCCGCCTTCTTGTGGTTCTGCGACACTTTTCCTTCATATATCCGTTTGCATAGCAAGCCTGTTTTAGCCGGTGATGTGCGTGCATGAGATCTGTTCTTGGAGTAAGGTTGATACCGGCCATTGGAGGGTTGAGGCGCAGGCGCATCATCTAGTACCTCGCCCTTTGGTGAGACGCGTGGACCCCAGTCGCTCTTTACCGAGATGATTGGTCTTGCAGTGCCAAGGTTGATGAGAGCCAACTCGTGGTTGAGCTGGTCACAACGCCAGGTCTTCCAGTTGTGACCGTTGTTGGGGGTGGGGCACTGTGTCACATCAAAACAATCAGACTCAATCGAATAATTGCCGGAGTGGCGCAACAACTGACCCCAATAAGCCAAGAGTCATAATTCGCCGTGTGGTAAACCATTTCGGTGGAGCACACAGGACATAGTAGGCCGGTGGGTCCTCTTCGGCCTCGTGGGTCAGGTGTCGGTAGCGTTAGAATGTGGGGTTTGGCCTTTTCGTAGTGAGCATGAATGAGTGTGGGGCACACCATCCTAGGTATGAGGATGCGGTACGGCGGCTTGGTTCGAAAGTGAAGGTTGTCATATTGATTTTGAAAAGGGTGACAATAAAAAAAAGCAGGCGCGTAAAAAATTTTCTTGAGACACGGAGACGACAAAGTAAATGCTGAGCTGGTGACATCTCAACGGGGGTGACCTGTAGGTGTTTCTGACTTATAATTTGTGACTTTGTGATTATGGCATGTTGTGTACGTAAGCTTGTACACATGCTATTACCGGGGGACTGTATTCCCAATTTCTCAATTCTCACATTCCCAGCGAGGTTCCCCGGATTCTCCGCCGCTCCCATCAGGTGGCCGAGGAGCGCCAGTTGCGCCAAAACGACAAAATGTCAAATTGCCCCTTTTCTGCCCCGATTAGGGCCCTGTCCAGCCCGCTCGGACTGGTACTCCACGGTATCGGCTATTCGATTAGCGATTAGCCCGGGAGCCTCCTCAGCATCTGCTGAAAATGGTTGCCTCTTTCAAAAGGCACGCATTGTAAGATGTGTCCATGAGAAATGTGAGCGCGCTCTTTAAGAAGAAAAATTACCCGATAGAGGTAAATTTCGAGAGCGAACAAACTACTTTGAGAAGCTACAATCCCCAAATGGTTATAGATTAAAGGTCTAGAGACCCTTTACCAAAGGAGCCACTACTACGTCACCGTCAAATTAAAAAACAAGTGGAGGATATTTAGTTTATATAACCAACTGCTCTCTCAAGTCTTAGTTTGTTCCCTCGTCCGATTCCTTTACTAAATTTATTGCTACAATAATTCTTTCTCATTTCCGAGATTATCCAATCTTTATTGAATAACTATTTTCGAAATTTCCTTTACATCAAAAAATGTTTTAACAAAAAGAAAAAAAATTAATTTCCAGTCATATTTCCTTTAGAAGCTTAATATAACACACTTATACACATCCTTACACTTAGTCTAAAGCTTATCCGAATAACCAATCCTGTTATAATCCATAGCGGAAACTCTTCTTCAAAGCTACCGTCATCATTTCTACCTAATCCCTGATTACTTATCACAACTATGGCTAGCGCAGAATCAAGAGCCATTCGGGCAAATCGAAGAGCAAACGGTATTGTATCCCACGCTACAAATACACAAATCCAGAATTCCTCTATCGACGGAGAAGACCTACCACCAGATGCCGAGGCAGACGTAGGAGAAGACTCATTCTCAACTGGAGATCCAGGAGGAAGCGGGAAGATTAATCAAAATCTCAACCAATTGCTAAATATCCAACCTAACAACACGGCAGAAGATCGGCTTATCGATCAAGGACTAATCAATATCTCAGACTCTGACAGCTCAGAATTGGAGAACGCCGACGGGGAGAAGTCAGAAGACGACAGATCACGTAAAAGTCAAGCAATTACAGAATCAAGAGATACACCATCTAATGACTTCGCCGAATCTAGCGAAAGCGACGACTCCTCATCAAGCCCCTCTGATTCTGAAAGTGAAACAGATGATTCGGACTCCTCAAGCTCGACAGACTCATCAGAGACATCTAGCTCAGATTCTTCATCCATATCCTCAGGCTCTGGTTCAGACACGGAATCTTCGAACAGAAGCAACAGCTCATCCTCTTCTTCGGAAGAAGGAGAAGAAGATAAGCATAAGAAGAAGAAACGTAAGAGTAGTTCTCATTCCATAGTTTAATTTTGAATCACACAAACTCCTCTACCCTTCACCACCAAAGAAAAATCCAATTCATTTCCCCAAAATAATCCATATAAGATTCAGCTAGAGGACATGCTAGTGGAAAAGACATAACCCACACTTAAGCTTCCTCGCGATCTACTTCCAAATATAAATGCTCGAGAATCTCGCATATACAGATTTAAAATCTCCTTCGTATTCCAAATCACTAGAAAATCATAGTATTCATCCCAGATACGATTCATGAACCTGTTCATCTATATTATCCACCTACTCCATCCCTTTCCGTGTTATCCACCTACTCCATCCCTTTCCATCATAACCATACCTCTGAAAAAGAGCGATTGCTGATTAGCAATACGGGTTGTCTATGTTTTGTCTAAACAGGCACTACAAAGAAACCGAAGAAACAAAAAAGAACAAAAACAAAGAAACAATCGAAAAGGAAGGATAAGGCTAAGAAGTCAAAAAACAAGAAAGACAAGAAGAGAAAGAAGAAATCTTCAAAGAAAGCTAAAAGTGTGATAGAAATCGACATTGGATCTGTCCCTACAGGAGACCTTATTACATTGCAGGTTAGCATTAAAATCCCTAATCACGATTTCGTTAGTATATATAAAAATATCTAACATAAGATACTGCAAAGCCGTTTTGGGGAGACCAGATGTCAGATCTCCACACCTCCATCCCCCTTACAGTGTTCGATCAAACTTTCGCCAGAGCTGACAAAGATGAGCATAATCGAAACCACAACTCAACTTCCTCTAAGAACAAGACCAATAAAGGCCTTAACGCCCCATCAGAATATCGCCTAACTTTCGGTGAATGGTCCGAATGCATGAGCTTATTTAGACGGTACCTGTCTAAATACTACGGCCAGAAACCCCTCGCGAAACGCTTACAACTTCATATCGAAAACGTCAAATCCATTAAACGTTCTACTGAGTGCTGGATGACAGCTTTAAGATATGACATCCTAGTTCGAGAACAAGTCTTCGTGAAACGAGAAGGGAAGACTCGAATGAAGGACATAGGAACCCGTATGGCCCAATACGAAAACCAGGCTAAAGATAAATCACTCAGATTAGGAGAAGCCAACTGTAGAGATACGAACCCGTACGCAGAAGGCGGCCGATTCGAATCTCGTCACCCAGAAACAGGAGCCTTCATGTAAGCATATCAACAATGTGTAGAAAAGTCATCATACGATCCTAAAATTACTCCGCACCTTACCTGTAGGCATCATAAACCTCAGCAACCATATGGAAGTAGAAGCCATAGCGGACCTAACCAAGAAAGCCAACCCCTCAAACGCAAAAGAGGAAGACGAGGAGGACATAACACACCCCAACAACCAATGGGACCTAGACCAACAAACGGTCAGCAATCCCAACATACAGGTCACCACCCTCTCCCTCCAAACCCTACCTTGTATCAAAATCAACTTCCCCTCCCAGCAGCAACCCCGATGGCGAACAACCGTTTCCCTAGCAGAGGAAGTAGAGGTGGATGGAGAGGAGGTAGAGGCGGATATCACAACCAGCGAAATGATGGGTAAGCGGAATATAAGATCCCATCAGCTAGACAACCCTTTCCTTTTCCAGTTTCCTTTCCTTCACATGATCCCTGTATGTAAGCAATGATATTCTTACGACGTCCTGTTTCAATTAATTTCACAATCTATCAAACATAATCAATAACTTAGCAAGAAAACAATTTTCATATCATCTTTAGCATATTTTCCCCTACAATCTCCCTACATTTATAATCTTTCTTTGTACAAAAACGTACAGACCTGTCTTTATTATACTTCCTACCTTTACTCTGTAATTATTTGAAATAAAATATTCGTGTTTATAATTGAAACTTACGCACCACGAAAAATTGCCCCCAGTTCGTTCAGGGTCCAAGAAACAAGGAAGAGTGAAAAGCCAAATACACCTCTACCAGGCCCAAGCTCCCCACCAGAGGGAAGAACAACCATTTGGCCAAAAGGAGTCAAATGCGACATGAAGATTAACGCCTGGCGCAAAGCACTAGAGAAACATCACCTCTTACCACGATTACAGTTTATCATTGACGGTTTTCGAGAAGGTTTCGACCAAGGAATCCCTGAACATTCCATAGAAGGACTCCCGTTTTTCTGCCCTCCCAACCACCAATCAGCCCTCTCTGCAAGGGAAGATATCGAGAAGAATCTAAAACAAGAAGTAGAAGCTGGTCGTATGTACGGCCCTTATAAGAAAGACGAGATGGCTACTAGATACAAATTCTTCAGATCAAGCCCCCTTGGAGCCGTCGTAAACGGCGACGGATCCTTTCGCCCAATAAATGATCTTTCATTTCCTAAACGCGATCCGAACATTCCAAGCGTTAACTCATTCGTTAACAAAGACGACTTCAAGACGACTTGGGATAATTTCGAAAGAGTAGCTATACACATAGCAAACGCATCAGTTCCTCTAAAAATTGCCCTCTTCGATTGGCTTAAAGCCTACAGGCAAATCGGGACACACCCAAACCAATGGCCATTTTTACTGATACAAGATTTCGAAAGCTTCCTGTACATTGACTTGTGTATATCTTTCGGAGGAGTAGCGGGATGTGGCAGTTTCGGCGGCCCAGCTGATGCGTGGAAAGAACTCGTAGAACTAGAATTTGGTCTCAACAAGGTTTTCAGATGGGTTGATGACAACTTAGTCATCAAAGAGGCATCTCAAAAGCTAAGCATGGACGAAATAGTTACATACAGTACAAGCTTAGGCGTAAAGACAAATGAAACCAAGTTCACCCATTTCAGCGACGAACAAAAATACATAGGCTTCCTATGGAATGTCCAAAGGAAAACAGTATGCTTACCTCCCAAAAAGCTTGCCGAACGCCAACTCCAGCTCGACACCTTTCTAGCAAAAGTGGATTACACCTTTAAAGAGGTCGAAAAGATGTATGGCCGCTTAAGCCACGTTTCCTACATTGCGCCACAACTCCGATGCTACCTACGATCCGGTTTCAGGTGGAAGTGCGAATGGGTCAAGACTGAGGCGAAAAGAAAGATGCCACAACAAGTCAGGATTGACTTAGATGTCTGGAAGAAAGCCCTGGACTCCTTCCCAAATAAGTTGCTGCTGAAGACAAGGGAGGTACATAACATCGGATGGGTGGGTGATGCTTCTACATCTTTCGGTATAGGAGTAATAGTCGGGAAAGCGTGGGCACAATTCAAACTGTGCCCAGGCTGGGATCAACCAGTGGGGAAACCGACTCGAGGCATCGCATGGTTAGAGACAGTTACCATACGACTAGGCCTACTCATGGTACAAAAGATACGGCCACTGGAAGGAGAAAGGTTTTTGGTATTGACCGACAACACGGCCACTGAGGGTGTCCTACAGAACGAATCATCTCGAGACTTTTGGGTCAATGAGGAGTGGAAAAACATTTCCACACTCCTCTTTCAGAACGATTGTCAACTGGAACAGCGGCGCGTTTCCACTTTGGACAACGCAGCTGACCAACTTTCTCGCGGCCTGACAACGTCCAAACCCTGGTACCTAAGAGTCCACGTCACTGTCCCAGAGGATTTGAAACAGTGGCTGGTCGACGTAGAGTCTCCCACAGAAGTGGAGCCGCCAAGAGTGAGTCACATCTACAGACTCGCGAAGGAGCTATACCGCTCACCTTTCACCTCTTAACACAACTAACCCTCCTTCACAAAACCCCCGCTCTACATCCATTTAGTTCTAGTCAAACCATCAGGCAAAGAAACCGCCACCCCCTCCGCCCATAAAAGCTGTTTTCAACTCCAAAGGCCCCCTTCAGCCCCTCTCCCACGTATTATTTCCTCCTTTCCTTGTTCTTCTGCGACATCAACAACTCCCCCCCTTTTTTCCTTTTCTCCAACCATAGTCAATAATACCTCCCCAATCCTCACTTGAAGCGACATACCCGTTTTGAACACCGACAGTTCTAGCCCAAACTATCTCTATCTACACCTTCCTTACGTGTGAGCCTCCCTAGCACTTACCAAGAGGTCACCTTCAGAGAACTGACCCCCGTGCGATGCATGCCTTACCGATATCGTAGAATTCTATACCAGCGATGAAGTGTACAAAGTCCTTCCTACGAATCAAAGACGATGTTCGGAAGCCACTGACTAGAGCTCAACGACACATGATCAGAGCCGGGTGGTGTAGATCGACCATAGAAGCTTACTCGTCAGGGGTCAAGAAGTTTAAACTCTTCGCAGCTCTCAAACGACGCGACGCCTTCCCAGCATCCTGCGACACCGTCGAACGGTTTATTGTCTGGGCAGGGCACAACGTGAATCGGCAGGCGACCAACAAACCAGTTAAGGTCACCACCATCACCAAGTACCTAACCGCACTACGAACGTGGCACGCGTTCCACGGTTATAATTTCCCGAATATTCACCTCACTCGTTTGAAAACCTTACTCAGAGCATCAAAAAAACTAGAAATTAGAGCACCTGTGCACAAAGCCAATCGCCAACCGGTCACCCCAAAAGCCCTCCTATCCCTCGTGGCCGACATCGCAGAGCATGAAGCTGACTTCAAGGGGCTAACGGCCTTAGTCCTTGTAGCCTACTGGGGACTAGGTCGTTTGGGAGAACTGGTCTACAAGTCCACCAAGTACGATAGGCACAACCACAAGGCTATACTGAAGTCTGATGTCAAATTCTATGTCAAGAACAACAAAGATTTCGCCGAGATCAGGCTAAGAGAAGCAAAAACTGCTGCACCCGGAGAGATTCAATCGCTAGTCCTACGAGCGACGGGAGGGGTACTATGCCCGGTTGACGCCTTAAAGCGCCTGACGGCAAGTTTAGGAACGGTGAAGGACCCCCGTTTATTCATGACACACGAAGAAGGAAAAGCTACTGCTATAACAAGAGAGCTTATGAAGAAGGTTATGATACGCACATGGGGGAAAACTTCGAACTTAACAGGTCATTCTTTTAGAATAGGGGGAGCGACTTTATTAACTAAGTCAGGTGTTCCCCTTGACGCCATCAAGAAATTAGGACGTTGGAAGTCAGCTTGCCATGCACTTTACCAACGAGAATGGGACGAGAAGGAATGGAATGCGGCTGTCCGAATCTTACAGATCACTGAAGATGTCATTCCACAGTATGCCTAGTACCACGTCCTATCTGGTACCTCCTGTTCGTTTTGTCCTCTTTTCTTTCCTTCAGCCGTCATGTACATCCCCTCCACTCCCCCATAGCCTGCCGACACGAAGCACGTCTTGTAAGCTACGCCGGTTGATGTTTCACGCACTTTGACCACCCGGTAATACATCACCCCACATTTGTCGAAGATTTTAATCAGAATGTCCCACTTCCTGGACACTGCGTGTGGGCGACAGGAAAGGGCGAAGCCTATCTAGGCTCAGGCCTGCCACCCGTGAGAATGGGATATCTAGGCATCTCACCTTTCCCCAAGGAACTTACTCAAACGAACCGGTAGAGAACTCCAACCAGAAGTACTCTACTGGTTTACGTTTCCTCGAAAAGAGAGTTCTCGACGAACGCTCCACGAGTGGAAACATAAGCCGGAGGTAGAGTTCCCACCTTAAGAGGTGAACTCTCCACCGCGCTATTGAGTACAAATTCCAGGTTTCAAGGAAGTAAAAGAACTCTCCTTGAAACCTACCGCCCACATTAGATCCTTCCCTCACTTAGTACAAAAACTAAGCAAGGGAAGGATCAGGTCTATTTGATTAAATAGAGTGTTTTCAATTAAGAATGGACAGCTCGTGAAACTAACCCTTCGAAAGATTACACCCACACTCTTGTAGTAAACTCATCACGCCCGTCATCAGTTTTCTTCTGGTATGTTGACTTTTGCAACAACAATGCTGATCAGCTCTCAACCTAGGGCACATTTTTTACAAGCCTCGTTGCAGCGGTTACCAAGCTTCTCTCGCGTGTCCAGATCGCGTGCAGCACATATCAGCGAGCTCATGGTGAGGTTTGCGCAGTGATTATCGCAACCAAAGCCTTGAGTGCTGCAGTCAAGAGTAATGGAGCTCCCTGAATGATAAATGTAACAAGGATGATCAATCTAACATGAAGATATCAAAAATGTAGCAAAAACATAAGATCAAAGATAAGAACAATAGACACAATGAAAACAATAAGCACAGTATCGTATAGATCTCTTGAACCAGAACTTCAAGTTCTAAAAATGATAATCAATATCTTATACACAGGTACATGCTTGTGTAGGATACAAAGGGATAGCCTGGCAAGTGAGAGGGCGACCAGAGTTGGGAAGTGACAGCCCTAACAGGCTGGACGGGGCCTCAATTGAGGTAAAAATGGGGTGATTTGACATTTTGTTGTTTTGGCACAACTGGCGCTCCTCAGCCACCGTAGTAAGTAAACCACAATTGAAGAAAGGTCAGGGGTAAACTGGGTCTGTGACTTCCTTCAATCTAGGGCTATGGCCCGGCCCACCCAAGCCTAATTTCATCAATGTGCTTTCCACAACATCAACCTTGTTGCACAGTATTTTATCGAAGGGATGGGGGAAATGA